TTTATATCTGTGACAATATAGATTTCAGTGCTTAGAGCTTCTATGTCCCGTTGAGCAACAAAAACTTGTGATATCCCCCAAAAAACACTTACGTGTGAAAAACTACGCCAAGTACTGGAGTGCTGTGTATTCCTCTAATAAAAAGTATCGATATCAGATAATTGAGGTCAAGTACTGTGACGTACGCCGGCCAACGGCGTAGCCGACAAATAATCTACGGCCCTCTCCCGTTCCCCGTATGGGGCCAAACAGGTGGTGTTACCCCTACCCTTCTCGTGGATGTCCTTTCGCGTCCCTTAACCCTTCCAAACGGCGCGGTCTACCTCCCCAGCTCCTCCCGGTGCCCGACGCCCTGGCGAGGTCTCCCGGGGTCGAGGTGGTGACGAGGAAGATCGTCCACCAGCCCATCCTGGGTCCTCTGATGAATTCCCCCTTTCCTCCCGTGGGTTACTCGCGTTCCTGTTCCTACACAGAAAAGAATCCTCCCCGCTCCTCGCGTGGGGTCCCTGGAAGGGGTTGAGCGGCGTATTTCGTTGCTTGGGATACGGCCGCCGATCATACCTGCATCGGCTCCAGCGGCACTGACCTGCCTCAAGCTACGCGCTGCCATCCTTCGCTCACTGCTATTGTTTACCTTTTTCAAGCCGAGCTTCTAAGCCGTCGGTCACGACTCGGTTTAGTTCCCACGCCGATTATCTTCGGCGTGGCGCAATCTCGGCTTAACGATGTTATTGTTTTGATTGGCTCGGGGTTTTCCTCTATTTCCCGGAATCCTCGTGCCGTTCTGCAAAACAATCCGATAGAAGGAATTTCCTCATGGCATCCTACTTGCACTCGGTCGTATCCTGCCGTGTTCGGCGGGCCGACCGTTCCTACTGGGTGCTCTCCTATCTGCAGCGAGCTACGGTCCACGTCCCACTCGCCTGCGCCCTGGCGCTGCCGAGTATCCTCTTTCTTTTCTTCAGAGACTGGCCGGAACACGCACGGTTCTTACATCTCCGGGCACTCTGGCTGCGAGCGTGGTGACCTCCTCGGCCGTCCGTTCCTTGGACAGCCGATTCCCGTTCCCGAGGTGGTTAGCCGTGCCTCGGCTGACCCTTCCTCTCCTATCTCTCTCTCTCTCTCCTGCGGTCCTAACTATCCAGAGGCTGCCTGGAGTACACACGGGTCTTACGTCTCCGGATAGGCTCAGGTGGATTCGGCGTCGCCAATTACTGGCAATAGCCGTTCTCCTTACATCCTCACTGAGCTGGAGCCGATAGCGTGCTTCGCGGCACAGGTAGGGCACTTCCCCGTCCCCGGCTTCAGGCTGTCGCACTCCCGGCAACCGGATCGGGAAGAGCGCGTGCACTGCGCGAGGCGGTGCCCTTCCTTGCCGCAGCCCCAACACGTCGAGCGGCTCGGCGTGCGGCTACGCTGCTCGGCCGGAATGCGGGAGCGAACTTCTCCGGCGCGTATCCTCCGGGCCAACTCTTCGACCTCGGACGGCCGCAATCGCTCCACCAGCGCCACGGCCGCCGTCAGCTCGAGGCTGTCCCGAGGGCGACTCTCGGATCTCGTTCTTGGCCGCTTTTCCGGTCCCGGCCGATCGTCACAGCTCTGGAACTGTTCTCGGCGCTTTTCTCCCGCGACGGGGCCGGAGACGGGAGCACCAGAGCTGGCCTGCTCTACTTTCTTCGCCTTCTCCCTCTCCCTCTGCGCCTTCCTTTTCAGGCGCCTCCACTCGGTCTTGCTGACCCATTCCCGTCCCGGATCGGATTCCCCCTCTTCCACGACGGCCCCTGGGCCGCCGCTTTCCCGCCGATCCTCTCGGCAGGGTGGTCGAGGAAGAATCTTCCCCGGCCTTCCGCAGGGCGGTGCGTCCGGCGCCACCTGGACACAGGGCTTCACCCTGACCTTCTTCGGAGGCGCCGGTGTCGGGACGACTTCGGCAGCCGCCAAGGCCTCCTCGACTTCGGCCGCCCAATCCCCGAGCGCCCCGATTATTCGAGACGTCCCTTGGGCGACCTCGACCCTGAGTCCCGGCGCGTCCGGGAGCAGATCGACCTCCATGACCGTCGATCCTTTCTCCCGAACCGTCGCGACCTGGAGACCTTGCTCCAGGGTCTCGTTGAGGAGGTTCTCCTCCTCCGCTCGCACCCTCTCCCTATCCAATAGGGTCCGCAGGACGACCATGTCCTCTGGCCGCAGTCCGAGGGCTCCTAGCGCGCCCTCCGCACTGGCTGACGAACTTCTCTTCGCCGGTGTCGGGACCGCGGCAGGGAGACTGCTCCCCCCCCGCCGCCTTCTCCCGTCCCTCTACCGCGAGCGGCGTTGGTGGGCTCGGCGCCGATTCCTCTCGGCCCTCCGCCCGCTCCAACTCCTTCGTCGGTTCCTCCATGATCCTCGGCCTCTGTAATATCAAAAGCAGAATTAGTAGTGGCCCCTTCGGCGGGTTTAAAGGCCTTTAAGTCCTTCACGTGTAGTTTGCCCACTGAGTTTCCGGCTTCATCTACTAACTCGTACACTACCGAGGATATTTTCTTGGCAAACGTATAGGGTCCGGCGTATCGCGGTGTTAGTTTCGTGGCCACATAATTGGCCGCTGACGACAATATCCGCTGCCTTTTCCACACTCGGTCGCCAACTCTAAAAGTCCGGGGAGACCGCCTGGCATTATAGTACCGAGCCTGTTTCTCCCAGGCTTCGGCAATATATCTTTTCGCCAGGTCCCTCATACCAGAG